CATTTTGCCACATTCAAGCGGATACAGGTAAATGTCAGTATGAATACCTGTTGAATGACTGTCTGTCACATAAATTCTAGATTGATGTAGAAGTTAGGAACCAAAGTACCTACTATAATACTCCTACTCTAACCCTTTATGGAAACGCTTAATCTTGTTTGTTTAGTTTCAATGACTTGCAAAAACTAACATTGTATCGAAACCTCTAAGACGTAATGGCCTCATAAATTTAATGCAGTTCGAGTATAATAAGGTCAGATATTGACTTACCTTAATATATAAAAAATATGTCAAATGTTATAGTTCAATAGCAAATTAATATTTGTTTGAATTAAAAAACATATAATTTTTGTTATAGTCCTTGGCGCTATCATGACACCAATCTTTTTATTTCAGGAGTGAAACTTATTAAGGAGGAAATGTAAAATTTTGTGATAGTATGTACCTCTATTATAATTAAATTCAAATTTTATTGGCAAATTATGGTAAACTATTAAAGGTGCCTTCTGCTGGGTCAGGTCGGCTCTTCCATCGTGTTGGTGGGTTGATTTTGTAAAGTACTTTGAAATGTGGTCTTGTAGTAATAATTACAGATGTGGTTAATTGTAGTGCGTAACATAGGTACTTTATGGATATTGTTTGATGTATTGTATAAAAAAAATGTATGACAAAGACACGGACCAATAAGCCGTGGAGAATTATAATTTGCATTGAATAAAAAAAAAACAGATGAATCCTCATGCTACGCAGGCGCAGTATATTGTCGCTGTTTGCTGATATTATGATCATCAATATTAATATCCTGTTAGTCACGGCGACAAAGGCTACAACCCTCTCTAATTTTTTGACGAAAAGCGTTTATAAAGTATGGTGTCTATGGCAATTTGGGTACAGCTTTTATTTGAGTCTTGATAATAATGCTGGTGGATCAAAAACGACCCAAAGATAAGAACTATTTTTTTTTAAGTTGGTACTTTTTGAACTTCTAATGAACCGGCCCAACCGAAGTGATACCACGGCTTCACAGAAAACTAGCGAGTCACAATTTTTCAAATTCCTTAAAACACCATCAATTCACTTGTACATGGGCGGCGCTGATTGCTTACCATCAGATGATGCGTCTGCTCCTTAGCAACTAAGGTACACGTATACACGGTATCTTTTTTAAAGGATTCTTACTATACCTACCATTTTTTGAATGAAACTTCAGTTAGGTATTTCGTAATCTGGCACACGGTATTAGCTTTGTGAAGAATGCTATTGTCTACATCTCTACAAGTAACTAGTGACATCGCCAGATACAATATTTGTCTATTCTACTATAAACATGGATACTTTTATTTGCAGCGCCACCTACTGTTCCCAAATATGAATTAATATCACCAAAAGATTCACACATGAATACCTAGGTAAATAATTTCTTGAATATCAATCTTTGTCACCATGCGTAGTTTCTGTTGCTAATAACAGATGGCACAACGGTCCTTGAAATGATCGTTTCATTGTTCGATATTTTTGTCTCTTGGCTTCACTTCGTTTTGCGGATAAAGTTGCAAGAAAAAAATTAGCATTTCTATTTTCTTACATTCAGTTTTATATAGCAACTGTCTATATTAATTAATTTTGAAAGTTCTCAGTATTCGAGACTAAATTTTCTAAGCCTTAAAAAAATACTTTATAAACGTAGATTCCTACTAAGAATACAAACAAAATGCAGTGTTTAGTTTAATTACGTTACCAAGAAAGGCAAACACTAATAATCAGGTTCGGGTAAAAGTTCAAAACGTTATGCTACAACCTGGCAAAAATGCAGAGCGTCGATGAACGCGCGGTCACTGTCTCCAATTAGCAGAAAAACGGTGCATGTTTGTATGTTTGTAGGTATGTTTAATTTTAAGTGTGAATCAGAAGTAGGTACTTTTGTTTTATTTATTTTTTCTCATTCAAATTTTGAGGATACCTTTGTTGAAGTTATGGGAAAACTTCAATACGAAATTGTATTAGTCTATAGGTATTGTAGTGATTTAAGGAAAAGTATCTAGTTGTGATAAACGGAAGACATTTTTAGACATTAAGGGGACATTCCTATTCTGCTTATTAATGCTAAAAAGTGCGTCAAATGTTTTTTTCTCTAGCAAAGTTAAATGAATAAAAAGCTTTATGGAATATATTAACTGGGGATATTTCGTGAAGCTTTTTATTCGTGTTTCGTCGTTTTAAGTTATTATTATTACTAGAAGTACGTTTTATAAATATAATGCTCATTTTTAAAGCCATTATCACCTTCACAAAGTTTGTTTACACCTTCAAAGGTCTTTTATTGAGGAAGATCTTACTTCTTATAATATAACTGGAAACAAACGAGTGCAACCGCAGCAAAGACTTAGTTTTCGAATATCGATGACTGTATGAGTCACAGTTCAAAACCCACACAAACTTTTTTGCACACTTCAATAAGTTATGCACACACATAAATTAAATAAACAAATATATTATATTATAAATGCGAAGTTAATTACAGTTCATTCAATGTAATTGGCAATTTGTCGGTACATAAATTAAGCTTTTTTAGCGATAGGTACATTGTACCGTTTTGTTTCGTCAATCTATGCATGACTAAATAATTATAAATTCTTCTACATATGTTTCAATAATTATGTATTTTGATTTTAATTTTTTAAACTTAGGGTCACCGACCTACAGTGAACGGGTTTCTATATTGTATGAACATTATAGTTTGTATATATTAGTGACTTTTTGTGGCATATAAGGTCTGTTACTTACACGGTAAATTGTTATGGGACAAGGTGAGTTAGCAAAACTGTATTGTAATAATATTATCTTAATCCATCTATAATATCATGTCAAGGTGTTACTTATTAATAAATAAGCTAAATGATGAGACACGCGTGAATATTTAGTTTTAATGAACTATTTTTAAATTACAAGGACCAGTTTCACAGGTCCCCTATAAATTATAGAATTTAGGTGACAGATCTATCTGAATCTAGTTCCATTTTTAATTTGTCTAATCGAGAGTGACTGTCTAAAGACTGATATCATTAACATAAGAATTCAGTTTTAGTTCCGGGATCATTCGGTCTGTAACAACGGTGTTAATTAAAATTCAATAGAAATGAAGAAACAGGAAAATGGATTTTACAAAAACCACAAAAATCTTATTCATTCAAGGAAAACTTCATGATAAGAGACTGATTCACTTCCCTTTTAATTTTAATGTGTAAGCATATCATTGAAAATGTAGGTATATGTTACACATAATTAAATGAAAGTAATGAAATTATATTGAAAAAATATTACATAATATTATTATAAATGCATGTGATTTCATTAAATAGTGCCTACAACAGTACGTATAAATAGGATATTTGTTCATTTTTATTTAATAAAATAATTCATTTTCTTAATGATTGTTATAGTAGAATATCATATTAAAAATAATAATTAATAATTTTGTACGAAAATAGTTGAAAATAAAAATTCATACATTCAGAAATTGCTGTATTTTACCCGGAGCGAACGCCAGCGGAACCTTCCATATTCCAAGTTAGACCCGATTTCAAAATTTTCTTTATTTATCTGTCTATTTTATTTTGTTAGCTACTTCATTATACTATTTAAATTATCATATAAAAATAATTAACGTAGATGTTGGTCGATATTTAATAAAAATAATCCTGTCTTTAGAAGCCAATGCATTATATTTGCACATGTATTATGTCATTTGGAACATGCAGTTGTTTTATTTTAATGATCTTTTGACTTGTTATTTATTCCGGAAAAGTTGACAAAATACGTAGTTTTCGATACTAACTTTATATTTTTGACTGGGATATTGGAATATTACTGACATACCCGATACAACTTACCGACAAACCGATACAACTTTCTGATATTTATTTGAAAAAGAATTTTATTAAAAAATCAGAACTAATTTAAGAAGAGCATATTTATAATATTCATGAATACGGGAATGCAGGTTATAAGTAGGTATGACTTTGAATCTAGTTAAAGCCACAGACGAAAAGTTATTATCAACGTTTGAAACATAAAAAACAAACACAATTTACACCGACATGTAATTTCATCACCTTCCCATTCAATTGGTATCGGAATTCGAATCTTCAGTTTCACAACGCGAGAATAAATGCTTCCACATCGGCCCTTGACCCGACCACCTACGATAGGAATTTTTGCGACGATGTTCCCTTACAAGGGATATTGTATAAAAGACAACAGTATTTTTAAAAATTTCGAAAGTGGGAAAAACTGGCCCGGTTTTATTGAAAATAGACGTATCAACCTACAGACGGTGGAGTTTTCAAAAATAAAGGTTGTTAATGATAATTTAATTAGAATGTAACATCACCATCTATTCTGGACGTTTATCCGTGGTACGCTTTTTACTAATTACTATTAACGATAATTAGGTCATGTGTTATGTTATGAGTAAAAAATCAAACAACTTTTAGAACATAAAAATAGAAATGGTCACTATTCAATTTAGTTTTTTGTGGAGGCATAATTAATTTATATGTTTACTTAAAGACAAAAATAACGAGGACATTCATAAAAGGAGGTTCTCCCAATTCAGTATAATGTTAGTAGAACTATGAGTGTAGATTATTAATTAATTCTAGATTTACGCTTTTAAATGGAAATATTAAGAAAAAGACGACGCATTATGTAACCACTTTGAGAATAGTTTTATCTAGAAAAGTATAAATGGCAGAATAAAGTTGTTTTAGACTACATATTTGTCTTTATAGATGTCACTCATGTCATAACACAGCACGTAGGTATCCCGACACCTACTTAAAGACGAGCGGACTAGATTTTGTATGTCACCTAAGTCAAGCATGTCAAGAACCTAGATGTGAATCAATAAGGTCTTGTGAACGCAGTGGGCACTATATTATTGCATTTTAATGATTTTTGTTTTATGCAAATCGATGTGTGAAGTGGATCTTCAAACATTCCATAAGAGAATTACGACTCTCTTGCAAGTCGGTCGTCTCAAACTGCACGGGGATTGCTCTGTTAGTGACTCAAATATTTTAATATAAAAAATGCAACATTGAAGTGCAAAAGTGAATGATTAATAACGTTCATCCAAGTTGCTGCGGAACTATTATAATTTATAAGCTATGCTAATACTTTTATCTGACCTCGTCACACCTTGATTTAAGGATTCTGTTCCACTTTTGGTACGTTTTAATACTATTTATTTATTAATTTAAATGTTAATCAAATGTCAATGATGAAGGAGATGAATTTGACAATATAAATGTATATCCTCGGAGGTGCTAACCTATGACACATTTTGATCTAGTTTCAGATCTGTAACATTATTTGTGGAGTTAGCAGGCCGACTGTGCGAGGATTTTATTCTGGTGACTGCAAATATTTGTTCGTGAATATGTCGAGTGCTGTGAAATTGGTAAGTGCATTTATTTATTTAATTAAAATTCATCTTTTTAAATATGTAAAATAAGTTTTAATATTGTAATATGAGATAGATATTTTGTTGTATTTTTAGAATACTTATTTAAATATTAACAACATATCATTTTAATAAACGATTATTATAACATTTAGTCGATTGAATTGAAAATGAAATACATTATTCGATTGTTATCTAGAAACTTTCGATCATTGTCCTTAACTTTTTATTTTTTATTTGAATTACAAATTAACTTTTCTGACGTTTTAGCTTCCAATAAAAATATGAATTTACAATACAAGTGAAAACAAGGATCATTCAGGGATATCCTTAATGAATTATTCATATAAATATTATACATTAAACACTTGCATGCCTTCAGAATGTTGGAACATAGAGAATAATGCGTATTTAAATTAGTGCATTAAAGGTGTCAAGGTAAATATGCAATTAAATGAATATTCATTATTTAATTCCAGGTATTTGTGCTGTCTTTATGGGCAGTAATACAATGTTCGCCTTATGATGACGGAAAGTACCATCCAAAGAAATACAGAGTATACGATGATGGAGGGTACTACAGGCCTTTAGATGAAGGCAAGTATGTTCCTGGAGATGAGGGAAAGTACACATACATATACCAACAAGGTCTATACCCAGAGGATGATGGCGACTACAGATACGTACATCAAGTTGGACCAAATGGTGGATTTGGGGGTAATGGTGGCTATGGAGGTAACGGTGGTAATGGAGGAAACGGGGGCTATGGTGGAAATGGCGGTTACGGAGGAAACGGAGGTTTTGGACCGAATGGACCAAACGGCCCCAATGGTCCAAATGGACCAGGTGGCCCTAAAGGACCACCCGGGCCACCCGGTCCACCCGGCCATGGCGGTCGAGCGCCAAACCGTATTGATTACATCGGTTCGAAGACATATGCTCAAAGATATCCCTACATTCATAAAGTGATTAAGGGCTTGGTAGACAAATATGTGTCAGATGAGGCTGTCAACTTCGGAGATGAATATGAAGGAAGCACAAACCACTACAGAAAGGTGTATGCTGATAAGGAGATTGCAGTGAAGTGCAGATATCTGGAACCAGCCTACAATCAGACGGAGTTTGTGACACAGTAAGTAGAAATAGACTTTCTTTACAATATGTGTAGAGTAGGAGTTAAATACATGATAGTCCTTGATCATATCATGAAAGAAAAAAAAAAAGAAAAAGTTCAGTTATGAATATCTAAGTAACAGTATACGTTTGGTTTACTACAACAAAAACAAACAAAGAACTTTTTGTTCGTTTCCATTTATTCTTTATTTTATTTATTTATTTATTATTTATGTACATACACACAACCAATACAAAGGACAATACATATATAAAAATATAGTACATAGGCCCCACATATTCCAACTGGAATTTCTTCCTGTGGGCCTGTGGTAGAGAAGAAATAACGACACCAAGACACATAGTATGTTACACAAATATAACTAGGTAAACTTTTGTAGTATGTAAAAAGCTTTGTTCAATGGTAAAGTATTATTAATTTGGATATTCGCAAAATTAAAAATGGTCAACTTTAACATTACTTGTGTAATGCTAATTTATTTATTTAGATTACTTGATTATTTTTGGAATAGGATGAGTAATATGCTTTGTATTTATAACTTGAAATTAATTTTGTTACAAAGAATTATTGTCAATATTTGTCATAGCAAGAAGAATACGCCGTCGTATTTTTTTTCTCTTTTATTTCGATTTTTTGTTAACTCATTATATTGTAGATACCTATTGATTTGATATCTCATTTAGTAAACTATCAATTTTTATGTATATAAAACCCAGATACATATTTTATGTATGTACGTTTTTTTAATAGCTAGTTATTGACGGCAATATCGAGTGTAGAAGCAATAAATAAACAATACACATAAATAAGCAATTTGAAACTCTCTATTAGTTTGTATTTGCTTTCAACTAGATTTTATGCTATACTGTGTTTTATTTTGTAAAAATAATAATTTATGCATTAAAGTATGTACATCTTCTCTACTCTTAATTCGAAATTTAAATAAATCTTTACCATGCTTTACTAAGAATTGCGATCAGCTAGATCCTCATTAACCAGAGATTATTTACTTGTCCGATACCTATAAATTTACTTTATCTGAACTTTAAAGAATATACTTGCTGAATATAGTTGTCGGTCAACTTTATAAAGAATAAGTGGAAACGACCCTGGTTTCCTTCTCCTCTAGTAATATCTTCTGTTTTATTTTATTGTGGTATCCCAGACAGTTATTCATGTCCCTGGGTCTCGCCGGACCTCAGTGTTCCTGTATTTTCATGGTTGTATCTACTTTAGATCCTGTCTTACAGGAGTTGCAGCGGTTAAGGGAGTTGGTGTCGGGACAGTCTGATAAAAATAATTTGTCGATCTTTTCTAGGCAAATGAACTTACGTGCAGAAATAACTCGCTAGTTTCGCTAATTTCACTTTTCACTTATATCTTGTAATCAATATTCTCTTATTCCTTATTTCAGATATCCTCCAACGCTGAAGCTGCCTCATGGCGAAAAATTCGGTTCCTACTACAGTTTTAGAGGTAGCAAAGTTCTAAATACTGTGAAGAATTCCCTAACAAACAAAGTGAAGCTGGAGTACGAAGTATTTGTAAGAGTTGTGGACACAACAACAGAATGAACCAGTCATCCTATTTAATGTATTATAATCGTGATATTTATAAAATTATATGATTTGGCACTAATGTTAATTAAAATGTAAGCTGTAAAATATTTAAATAATGTTTTATTACTTCGTAATTGTAAAATATTTCGGTGTTTGTCAACGTAGGTTGCAGTGGCATGACATGGCGGGTCCTTTTTGGAAAAAGGGCTGTGTTATTGGTAGCAGGTACCATCAATATTTAAATAAATTAACTCAATACAGGTATTAAAGTGAGCTGTTGACCGTTGAGCTTTATTGGTTTGTTGACTAATCTCTGGTAAACAACCTGGGGTCTTAGGAAAAATCGTTTTTGATGTTTTGTAGGTAGGTATACTCAATTCATTATAATGGCGTAATGTAGAACAGGCCCAGATAAAAGTGCACTTGTTACAACGCTTTTTAAGTTCATCATTTCATGAAATATTTAACAAGTTTTGCCAGATATTTTTTAGTTTCAATACCATGTGCTAGATTCTCATTGTCTATAGTTCAAGTTCAAGATTAATTGATCTGTCGTCGGCGGTATTTCCGAACCGATACGACCTTCAAACCTTCAAGAGAAGAGCGTCCTTTTTAAAGGGCCGGCAACGCACCTGTGATTCTTCTGGTGTTGCGGGTGTCCATGGGCGGCGCTGAACGCTTACCATCAGGTGATCCGTCTGCTCGTTTGCCTCCTATTCCATAAAAAAAAATATCACAAGCCATTAGATGTATTTGTAAACAAACTTTTGCAATTAGGGCTTTGATTACGTTTCTATTTAATGACAAGAAATGTCTTCATTATCATAAGCTGGAAAAATAGGTAAATTTATGTTTTAGTAGATTGAAACATTAATAAGTTACTACCTAAACAAATAAATCAGGAAAACAAAATTCGAGTAATCCATTTACGGTCTAAAGTAGGTTCCGGGGTACACATTCGGCGCTCTGATTGGCCGGTTTGGATGAACGAACCAATCAGGAGCGCCGTACGCGGTCTCGTTTCGATTACTTTAAACTTAAAACAAAACTCGTAGCCTTTGAAAGCAGCAATAGAACAGAAGAAACTTACGGAGATTAAAGATAATAAATATGAAATTGCACTAATGAAGATTAGTGACTGAAAACTAAGATAAGAACTATCAAAACATTTAATAAAATTCATTAACATATCTAAAACAAACAAAAGTTTGACTTAATGAGGCGCTTTACAATCCGAACGATTTTATTTGTTAGTTTTGGATTTTTGTATTTATTGTTCGTAAGCGTATTTCCCAATCTCTTGTACGATACCTTTACTAGGTTTACGGGGAAAAACCTAAGTTATATTGTGATTTTCCCTTATTTGTATAAAAGGGAAAAGGATATTGTATGGTATTTGAAATTTATTTTATTTTATGACTTATTTTTTTCCATTACTAAGTAGTAGATACCTATAACAGTTCTAGTAATTTGACAATCTGTAGCAAACTTGGAAATAGGAACAAAACAATACATAGAGAGAATAATAGTAGAAAATCCTAATTTAAAATTATCAAGTCATTTTCACAGACTGATGTAACATGCTTGGCGATTTGTTTTTGTTATTAAATCTATGACTTTTCTAGTTTCTGCCAGCGGTTTCTCTCCCATGTCGTGGGGTAAAATGTCTATGGCCTTGTATAATCTACCCACATTCCAAATTTCAACTCGATCCCTTCAGCCGTTTTGACGTGAAATAGTATCAAACACACACATACAGACATACAATCAAACATACTTTCCCATTTATAATATAAGTAGGACTATTATAAATTCAAACTATTATTTTAAACCTTGACATTACTACGCTATATAATTCCGTCAATGGAATTTCGATCGGCCTTGCGTCAGTTTCAGTTCATGGAATCAGATATGTGCTAAAATATGCATTTTACTGGAAAACCACACAATAAACTGCAAGAAATATAAAACCACAAGAATATCGTTAGTTTCCAAAAAGGATATTTTCTAAGTATACTTAAATGATTCACTTATATCCTTATAGCAAACAGGATGAAGGCTTTGACCTTCAAATAAAAATGCAATAAACAGAAATAACACATTCTTTCAAACTTGTTTCAACTAAAATGTTACAGATACATAAAATTAAAGATGTTCTCCGTTTTATATTATTCTGTAGACAATAAAATACGAGATCAGAGTTACGTAAGATCAGAAAATATGTTGGAATATGATAATAAAATCTTCATTAATATTTATAAACTTTTGCTTCGTCTTTTTTGGACATGTCGATAAATTCTTTTGTTTTTATCGTTTCTTTTGTTTTTTTCATTTGTGAACAATGTTGAAAAGAGATATTGAACCGATGTCTCAACACTTTCTGATCAATAACTTAACTTCAGATAAGGTATATACAACAGTTAGGATACATCTGTTTCGATTTTGATTGGAACATGGCAGTATAAATAGTAAATACTTGTCACTTCTTTTGGTGTCCACGGACCTTGCCAATTTAAAAAAAAAACAACTTAATGTATTACATAGGTACAAAAAATACCAGGTCACTGATTTTCTAAGATCTACACATAAAATCGAGGATACGATTCATAAGATTCGAGGATCCGTGAATCTACTTGAGAATATGTGTGTAAGCTCTCGACATTTCATCCCAAATTAAAAAAAAAAATAAAACATTGTAGAGTACAGTAACCGATAAAGTTTATGAACAAGCACGAATAATCATGAACATGATTCCTTAGGGTGATACTTATTTATATACATTGTTTTGTTTATTAATTCGAAGAAGGCTTTAAATACCCATTTGTACATTTTCCTTTGTTCATGAATGTTCTTGGTGATAAAAATATCTTTGATCTAAAATATTGTATTAGATGTCCCACACATTATAAAATATCTTTTTATCGTATCTATTCGTGCCGCGGAAAATCTAACAGGTTACCGGAGCTCTGGCTCGACGTGCAGGAGAAGGAACGGGGTGGTTTTTAGGCAGTAAGAGTCGGACACTCCCTCCCGCCTCACCCAGGCGGGAGAAGTCATTCGATGATTTTCCCCCCTTAAAAAAAATCGTATCTATCCGTAATAAGGTATATTACGTCGATATCTGTGTTGTAATTGAATTAAGAATAAGAAATTTTATTTGCTTACCTATAGCAAATAAAATGCATGTATTTATATAAAGTTTTAAAAATAAAAACATGAATCTTAGTAAGGTCTTAATATAGTATTGGGTCATAGTATATATACCATTTGAATCTTAATATTAAATGAGCTAATTTTAATATTACAATTTGGTTAAATTGGTATTCTTATTAGGAATGTCCAAATTAATGCACACACATATTTCGAAATTCTTTACAATTACATATACTACCTTGTAACTGCTCTACTAACAAGTTTAGGATCGATTTTCAAATAAGGCAATATTTATTATTTATTACATACTTGCTCTTTCGAGGAGGCCTTTTTTTAAGGGGGGAAAATCATCGAATGACTTCTCCCGCCTGGGTGAGGCGGGAGGAAGTGTCAGACTCTTACTGACTAAAAACGACCCCATTCCTTCTCCTGCACTTCGAGCCGGAGCCCCGGTAACCCGTTAGGTTCTCCGCAACAACTTGGAGGAGGCCTATACATGTCGAAGGGCAAGCTGGGGATAAAATAACTGATATATAGTATAATAATAGAGACTTAATTGTAAATTTGTTATCTCAGTAATAAAGGCTTATTTTATTTTAACTTTCAACCGACTTTTTTTAATTTTCAACCGACTTTAAAAAAAGTAGGAGGTTCTCAATTCGACTGTATTTTTGTATAATTTTTTTTGTTCATACCTGCCATACTATTTCAAATCTTCTGTATTTATAGGACGGAGTGTTGGTCGAAAAGGTGATTGGATTAAGGCCAGTAGAGCAGAATATCACAGAGGTTGGAAGATGTTTTTTAAGGTTTTTAACAAATACTTAGGTAATGCTGATTAGGATTTTCAGTTTCAGTTACTTAGCAACTAAAAAACACCCTATAAACCATGCAGTATCTAAGTACTAATATACATACATAACATGACGTCTATTATCCCCGAAGGGGTAGGCAGAGGTGCACATTACGGCACTTAATGCCTCTGTACAATGTAACACCCACTTTTCACTATACATATACCGGGCACAATTCCAGACCCCGTGCTACTACTGAGAATTTTTTTAAAAACCCTGTTGTACATACTTTGCCTGATCCGGGAATCAAACCCGAGACCCCTTGCCCGACAGTCGTACTTTCGACCTCTCGGTCAACGAGGCAGTCAACATTAGTTCTAAATACGTCCTTAATTCACAATAATAACTTAGTAATTAAATATACACCTACATAATATCTATATAGTCCTTTGCAATGAAAACAAAAGTATTTAACAAGCTATTAGGGCATGCTCTCATTCGTTATGTTAATGTGGAACTAGTGTTAGTTATACTTTATCAAGTTTCCGGCAATAGTATCGTTACAGTGGGCGATATAGTCCTCGAGTGATCTAAGTATTCTACTTTGGATGTGGTCAGTTGTATAATATATCACATAGAGGCCCAAATAAGCCTCTTCGAACGCCTTCACAGAACAAAATTAACATTTTTTGCAATTTAAACGTAGGTATTGTTGCAATAAATACTCCATTTAAGAATTTGACGATCGTATATAAAGAAACGATGGGCGTAAAGGATTTATTCTATTGTTAAGAAGCTAGGCGTAACAATGAGGACGATCACTGTGAGTAATAAGGGTTTTTTAAATAAGAATAGTAATTGTGATTAGGCCTAACTAGGAAACTACCGCTTGACAATAGGCGTTCAGTTTCACAAGTTCGCGGATAATTCGATTTTCGATTATATCAATAGTTTGCTTATAGTGTATTCAATCAAATGCTTTAGGGCCAATTTTTCAATGCTCAGTTAAATGTTAATTGAGAAATAACTTTGAATATTTGACAACTCTTCCATACTGGAAACTGTCAAATGTCAATTTTATTCTACTGTTAAGAGTTGATGATGATTGCTAAAACGGCCCTCAGTTATAAATGTAAGAATATTAAGATAAATGTCACTCAAATAAAAAAAAATGCTCACTAAACCACTTAACTGAATACCTGCATTCATTTTATTTGAAACTGTTATGAGTAATTTAATACGAAAATAGATAAAATTAAGCATTTAGTGAAGGCTACTACTATTAGTACTCACTATTGCTTGGCACTCTATTTTGAGATAGGATAGTTTATTTCTTTTAAGTGATTGACACCATACTAAAGAGTATAATTATATATTTCTAACATATCGTACACTCGATATATTACACGTTATCATTCATAAATTGCTGAAAAATAAACTCTAAGTCATGGCACCTTAGAATATTTATCGCCAAAATCTCCTGCACGTCTATTCTCAACTATAGGTCTAGCTGCAAATTATAGCGATTCATATACTAATTTGTCTAGGCACTTACAAACTTATAGTGAATGTTCGGAAAACTCCTCTAAAATAGATTTTATAATTGTGTCATTAATTGTAATTTTATCATTTCAGTTCATTGTCTTGGCCTTGAGTGCAGTCAGCATCTCCCAAGCTGACGTAAGTCATGTGGTGAATGATGGTCGGTACCACCCTGAACTCTACGGAGGCTACGACGGAAGGTACCTGGCGGAAAGGAATGGCAAATACGGCTCGATCTACAACGCGTATCAGCCACGATACTATCAGGCGCTAAGTCGGGAGCTTTTGACGCCCGTAGACAGGTAAGACTAATTTGTTGACCATATGTAAAATTTAGGGTTTAAATTGTATATTTGTACCATTAATATACCTCTACATAAATATTTTATCATTGTTAAGTGCTGCTACTGTTGGATATGAGCGTTGATGTTCTTTGTCATTAAGTCAAAATTAAGTTAGAACTTTGCAATATTTTGTATTGAAAGTTTTAGCTAGTACGGGATATGGATACTTACATATTTCTTTAGACTTTCTCATAAGTGGTCCAATTGATGGCTCCTATAATGTTCAAGGATTTTTATTATATTTTTGATTACATAGAAATATTAAGTGATAAGTATTAGTTTAATTATTCACTCTTTCCAAACTTTTGGCATGCAGTATCCTGCTAGTTAATCCACTCCCTTTATAGGTAATTGGTAGTTTTTGTAGAATCACTATAAATTTCCCTAGTCAAAAATTATTTCTCAGTAATTTTGTAACCTATAAAGGGTATATTGTCTAAATACCCATTATTTCCCTTTAACTTTAGATAAAAACGTAATAACAGGTCTTGTATTGGTGGAAGTGAATTAAGTAATCCCTTATACGGCTAATTTACAAAATTAATTTATTCGTCTTTCTGTAGTTTGTATTTAGATAACATACTTACCAAACGCGATCTAATCACAGCGTCTTCAAACAGGGTTATATCAATGAGCAAGAACTAAATGTCAAGCAGGAAGCGCCCACATTTGCATAGATCAGGATTACTTTTGAACTAATGCCCTTTAAGATCTTAGGTTCCAATACTTGGGTATCTGCCATTTGGTTGATAAATTAATAAGTCTGATATTTACCAGGAAGATTACAACGCAATTCATAATAATGTTTTCGAAATGATATTATAACCACGCTCTATAAATCTTGATATTTGTGACTTAAATTGTGATCCTATTTTAAATACAATGCATAACTAAAATCATGAGCTAGATAAGTAGCCGCTATAAAGATTATTTAACCATGTTTTCAACACTCCTTAAATGTCAACAATAATCTTCATTTTATTCAACATCCTAGAAGATTGTGTTACATTTGAACAGTCTTGTGGAATAAGTCTAAAAATAGGAATCCTTTTTAATATTTTAATCTTGTAGTTGGAGATGAAATGTGTTCTTTGATAGTATCTTGTGTGAGGTGTTTAGTACATCCGCGTTACTGCCAGTCCGCGCCCAACGTGACAGATGACATTACCCATGACAGTTCAAGGACGAACACGTGTATCGAATTCGTAATTAAGGCGTGGGTCTCTTCACAGCTCTTTCCAAATTAAGCTGATTATTATTTATTTCACTAATCCAATTTACGACAGAATTTTTGTAATCATAGTTTTGATAAACAAAAATAAGTTTTGTACAACAAACTTTATTAACCAATTTATTATAATTTTTTGCAGCGTCGAACAACCGGTGGCCTTGCCTACATCAGCTGTGTCATACCGCACTCCATTCTCTCCTGTTACTTACCGCCCGATCGTATACTCAACCCCGCGGCCGTTTGCTTTAAGCACCAAGGCTCCAATAGTTTACCAGAAGTCTGTCACTGAGAAGACACCTGTAGTTTACCAGAAGTCTGTCTCCGAGAAGGCTCCTGTAGCAGTTTACCATAAGTCTGTCTCCGATGCTGCTGCCACTATTCTGAGGGAGGACAGGACCTATGATGAAAACAATTACCACTACGCATACGAAACCAACAACGGCATTGCTGCCGAAGAGTCCGGAATTGTTGACGCTTCTCACAATGGAGTCGGTGGAGGTACCAGGGTTAAGGGATTCTACGAATACATAGGCGATGACGGTCTTAAATACAGAGTAGACTACATCGCCGACGAGAATGGTTTCAGAGCAAGCGGAGCTCATCTGCCCAAAGCCCCTTAACCAAATTAGTCATAATAAATTAAATACGATGTAAAATATTTCGAGAGCACAAATTAAAAAAAATAAAGCATTGTTGTTTTATTATTATTTGCAACAGAGGTATTTTAAGCTTATTCCTTACCTGCGATTTTATAGCCCGTAGGCGGAGCCACATCCTTTGCCTTACAAAGCAGAACATGTCTCAGTTTATTGGGCAATCTCGATGAGGCATAATACTAAAAGGAATTACCATCTCTTTACATGCACTCTAACTTTAGATCAGATTATGGAAGCTTATACAAGTGATTATTTATTGATGGTTTATACTTATAGATGTATCGCTTAGTCATTCTGTTAAAAATTGTGTAAAAAGTATTTATCTCGAAGTTGTGATATTGATAGTGACACTATAAATTAAAACTAATTGTTGTAACATTCTTGATGTGTGAGTCACATGCTAGTCTAGACAACTCTTTGCCCCTTTCGGTTTGATGAATAATGTCTGACAATGGTGTGATCTTTTCGGCCACATTTCAGTTTTTAAATGTATGTCTGTTACGTTTGATGTAAATTTTAGATTTCTGGAAAGCTCTATTTAAAATATACTACACAGGAATCCTTTTGTGTTTTCCTGTTCCACTGATTTATTATTAACAGATAGAAATGATTTCTTCGAGCGATGTATGTGTGTGCTCTTTAAAAAAACCAACTATAATGTCAGTTTTTGCTAGACAATATTCTGCTTTATATAAAAACTAAAATAGGTATATAATCTATCAACACTAAAAACTAGTTTAAAATTATTCTTATGGAGGATGATTAAAAGAAGTTGATGGATTAATTATAACTAGTCTGTTTTTAATTCTAGGTTCTTAAAAATTACATGGCTTTAGGGTACAAGATATTCTTTTAACTTTATTTTGTGGTTTCGTCTGAAATTAGGAATGCAAGTAGATGTTATGACGTAGGCAGGCATCCGCTAAGAAAGGATTTTGATCATTTCCACCCCCAAGGGGGTAAAATAGGGGATGAGAACTTGTATAGATCTTCTTAGCCATTGAATCTAGAAAAATTGAATCTTTTTGAGTTACATTCGGTAAAACGATAATTTCAGACCTGGGAAACGATGTATGACAGTTTTTATCACAGAAGTCCCATGGGAACGGGAACTATGCGTTAAAGCTCAGGGAGTCTCTATCTATTAACCTTTCTTAGAATAGTTTTTATTACTCCAACCTTACGGGAACGGGCCAGTGCTCGTTTTACCAGTATAATCCCTGCGGGATTATTGATTTTATTAAATCTCACTTAGGCACTGAATCGATTCTGATGAATTCTGCCAGAAGTCATTATTCTTCGCGGACGAAGTCGCGGGAAACAGCTAGTATGTCATATTATTATCGTGAACGACTGGTCGCAAGTGCGACTGCCGGGGCAAGGGGTCTCGGGTTCCCTGGTTCGGGCAAAGTATTATTGGGCTTCTTGAAAAATTTTCAAGTAGTAGCACGGAGTCTGGGATTGTGCCCAGTATACGGCAATAGGCTAAATAATACCCATAAATAGTGAAAAGTGAGTATTACATAGTACAGTGCCGTAATAATCCTGCCAACTTATTTAGGCCTTCGGGGATAAAAGCCGTGATGTTACATGTTAATACCTATAGACGTTGAATGGTTATCGACCCCAGAGTCTTAGAGGTAATTAATGAGGCTATCTATATTAATCGAGATCTGCATCTAAAGTCAAAGGTTAATACGATGAGCCAATTAACGAACAAATTTTTCTTAAGAAAATAATTATAATTAATTTTAAAAGGTTGTAAAGTGCAATTTATTTTATGGGCAAAATAATTAATAGATTAATTAAAATTATAATTATAAATAGTATAAAATCTAGTGAATTCAAGATATTAATTAAATTAAATTAAGAGGTTATCATGAAAGACTACATCAACATACATACAACATAACATCACGCCTTTCTTCCCCGAGGGGTTAGGCAGAGGTGCACATTATGGCACTTAATGTCACCGTACCATGTAACACCTACTTTTCACTATTTTAAGTGTCCCATACAATAGGGGGTGAGCCTATTGCTATATACTGGCACGTTTCCGGTCTCCGGGCTACTACTGAGATTTTTTTAGAAAACCCAGTAATACTTTGCCCGATCTGGGAATCGATCCCGAGCCCCTTGCCCAGCAGTCGTACTTGCGACCACTCGGCCAATGAGACAGTGTTTATTTTGATTTACCTGATAACAACGATGGTTGCGACTAATCTTCTTGACTATCTCCAAGTGACTGCATTGGATCCAATTTCGGTAAGTTTTTCACAATATCACGATTAAAATATATTTGTAATTCAATTTCGCATGCGGTCGATGCTGTCTGTTGACAACTAAATGTTGCATCTTTTTGTAATTAATACATATGCAAACATTTTAACAATATCAATGCCGTCTTGCGTAAATAAATGGATTGGATTGGTATAAAAGTATCAAAAAAATATTCAATAGACATCAGTTAACAAACGATCATCAGATCTACTCATCTCCTCTTACAAAGAAAAAAAAATCTTTATTAAAATGAAATTCGCTGTGAGTAAAAGAAGCATTGTTTTGAGCTATCTTTAGTTTTGTGAGTAACTAGTTTATTTATAGAAATTTATTATCTTTCTTCAGTTGGTTTTCGCCGCCATCCTGGCTGTCTCTGCCGCCCAATTCGACCAGTACGGTCGCTACAAGCCCGCTCCTGCCCCCAAGCCCGCAGTGGTTGCCAGCCGTGTCGTCAACAGTGACAAAGCCGCCAACGTCCTCCGTTACGACAACAACATCAACCCTGACGGCAGCTACAGCTACGCGTATGTATCTAGCCATCCTCATACTTCCTCAATCAAAAATAATATTATAAAATGTTTACATAGTTATTCTCGTGCTCTTCTAATTTCCTGTAATGTTGCAGTCTCGAAATCGACAACGGTATCGCTGCTGCCGCTCAAGGATCCCCCAAGGACTTCGGTGGAAACCCCCCTGTAGTCCCAGTTGTCTCCCAGGGATCTTTCTCATGGACCTCTCCTGAGGGCAAACCCATCGTCATCACCTACATCGCTGACGAGAACGGATACCAACCCTCTGTAAGTATAAGGAATCACACTTCAAAAAACTATACAGTATACTTGCTAAATTAAGGCTTATTGATGACCATCATAACTCTTTAAAAAACGGATGCGATCTAAATGTCAAAGCTTCCGTAGTTAACAGAAAAAAGTTACAAAACTCGTCTAATAGTCCTGGGAGTGTCCATTGGTCACATTTGGAGGAGCTGGTTAGAAACACATGATCGAAGGAGATTATTATGTGAGAAGAGGACCGGTTGATATGAATATTGAATATTACATGTCTATGTTGCAAGACTATTGCATAAAACTTTTACACTGATTCCTTAATTTGTATGCTTCTATTTGTGAAATTGACATTTGCTCTTTATATTTGCAGGGTGACGCTCTCCCCCAGGCCCCCGCAATCCCTGATGCCATCCTCAAGTCCCTCGAGTACATCGCCAAGGTCCAGAAGAAGTAAACGACAAATAAATTAGTTTAACCAATTTAAATCAACCACTAGACACGATTTCATAACCTTTTGTAAATAGGTGCATTTCGTACATCATTATCATTTATATTATTACTGAATAGTCAAAACGGTGCCTATATCGCTCATAAGCAGGACGTGATATTTAAATTGGACATAAATTATTATTTATAATGTAATGATTTAAAAATTAAGAACATGGCATTCCGAATGGTTTCCGTGATTAAAAAAATTTGAACTAATTTTCTGTTTTATTACCATACTTTTGATACCCATCTGTTAATCCTAATGTAAAATAATTACAGCATCATATACCTTATTGACAAAATATATTTAGAAGGTTAAAGAAATAGATGACAAATAATAAATGGAATTCAAAGAAGAAATACCTCAGCATTGTACTACTACTACTACTACAACATAATCAAAGTAATTTAAATAAAATAAAAACGATTTTGGTGCGAATGACAATTTTGGCCTTATGCATTTACATATAAATAGTAGATAATTATCTTCCTCAACGATTTCAAATTATTGACATTCACATACCTAAGTATTTTGTATTTATCAGAATAGATTCAAGATATCTATCATACCTAAGATAAATAAAGAAAAATTTACACTGAATCATTCTTATAATTCCTATAATCCGATTTTTCTATTATAAAAAAGTTTTAATCTAATGAGTGTCAACTTTAAAATCATCTAACAATTTATTTAATTCATACTAATGTTCAAAGCTAATGAAAACTTATTATTAACTATCTGCTTCACAGACCTCAGTCTTTAGAGACTACTTACCTAACAATAGCAGCCATCAAATTCAGCAACAATTCATAAAATCAAATCGACCCACATAAAGAATCGAAATAAAACAGATAAAAATTATAAAATAAATCAATTGACCTTTTTTGAACTTGCTTAAAAACCTCATAATTATGTAAAAAAACAATGACGGTATAACTGCGTATCCATGAACTTCAGTATTGCGAGTAACACTTCAGTTGTTGTAGCCAAATGCCATTTATCCCTTGTCTACATGTAGAATAGAAAACCAAATTATATGGAATTGACGTAAATTTTAACACTTGTCAATGTCATCCCCATACATTTTAATTTCTACTCTCTCTGTAGACAAGCGCTAAACTGGCGTTTGGCTAAAGGCCCAGGAGTGTTACTAGAGTACTGTAGATGCACCATGCAGTTACGTTGCGTGCGTAGAGTCGCGACTGTTAAAATGAGTTACATATTACATAGACATTTAATTTTAAAAATATAACATTTTAAACGAATACCTATTATTCAGCCGATGACACATTATTCGCACTGTGCATAATTTCTGTAAACTTGATTTCGTTATATGGGATAGCCAGATGTTTGGTCATCTTCTATTTTAAATTTCACTCATATGTAATCTTGTTAGATTTACATATTTATTTGTATATTATCACAAGCACCTGTAACGTTTTTATAATAAAAAGCTATATTAATAAATCAGTGCATTCTGTTTTATTATTAGTAGTTTTTTTTATTTCTATAATATGGACACAGATAAGGAAAAATAAAATTATTGCTATCTAAATATAAATAAATTTTCGAATTTTACTCTTCTGTGTATCATTATTGGTACCCTGATAGATTTCTATCCTTATATTAAATTTATGTAGGTATGCTTACCTTTTTGCGTTGTTCATTAGAATTTCACACGACTTCAAATGAAATCAAAACAAATCAATTTTATTTGAGAAAAGTGTTAAATTGCAATATTTTTGATATCCACACCTTTCACCAGGTCAGGCATGCAAATATTTAATATAATTATATAAATTAATCCATTAAAATGTAATGTCTTCATTTAACTCGTCGAGCACCGTCATTATAGACACAATTAAAGAATAGGTTGCGGTCACCGGTGACCGCTCGGTGTTTGACAGTTTAATATTAAACATAATAAATTGTGTGGTTCCTTTTTATAAATAAAGGTGATTCATGAAAATAAATTGTAATTTGTTAACAACGATGCAATTAACTTTTTGTGTAAATTCCAATGCAGTCAATCTATCAATCTTTTAGTATAATCTATACTCATATTTTTAATATATGAAGCAGAAGAGTCTGTTTGTTTGAATGCGCTGATCTCCGAAACTACTGGTCTGCTTTGAGTAATATTTCTATATTGGACAGTGCATTTATCGAGGAAGGCTATGGGCTAAAATATGACTTTACGATCAATAAGAGCCGAGTAGAGTCGATAAAACTGTGCGAGACTCGAGAGTAGCTAGTTATTCATATTAAAGAAAACAAAGGTGCGATTGCAAATGCAAGTTCAATAGGATAGTAATCAAAATTTTATTTTAATATTTATTTGGTAAATTATTTTAAAACATTTGACACGTATATTTTCTTTTCTTGCAAAATTAAATACTTTCGCGACGACAAATTGATTTGAAATATCATGTGACGTCACGATTGCCTACATTTTAAAGGGTAGCGTGACGTAACGACCTCCTACTCCTAAACGTAAGCCCGTTTTATATAAGTATTGTTTTCTTATACGACAAAATAAAACAGTTATAATATGACTGCCTCTTTGGCTGAGTGGTCGCAAGTGCGACTGTCGGGCAAGGGGTCTCGGGTTCGATTCCAGGGTTGGGCAAAATATTAGGTACTGGGTTTTAAAAAAAATCACAGTAGTAGCACGGAGTCTGGAATTGTGCCCGGTATATGGCTATAGGCTCACCCCGTATTATATGGGACTCATAACATAAATAGTGATGAAAAGTGGGTGTTACATTGTACAGTGGCATTAAGTGCCGTAATGTGCACCTCTGCCTACCTCTTCAGGGATATGTGCCTAATATTTTTCTTTATCTAACCAATTACATTTTTAATTTGCATACATTGTCTACTATCCTTTTTTCGTCTATGATTGAAAGAAAGAAAAAGCATTTATTCGACATTGACATGCCCAACGATATTCGGATAATAAAGTCAAAGAATACATAAATGGTTTCATAAACTGTTTGAACACGTGTAATATAGCTTTCTAATTTGTTTGACAAAATATATTAAAGTTAATCTTGATCAATATTCTGCCTTAATCCACCTAGTTCACGTATCTAATAAAACACGTTGCGTCGTTTGCGTATACAACTGACATTTCTGAATTTAATTGCCTACCATTACAAAAGATACTGAATTTGGAGCGATTTTTATGTTCTCATGTATATTCAATGTAGTTTCTATCCGTTTGATTCGTTTAAAATCCATAAATCACTGCGCAATGGCGTTTAGGATGATTTTATACTTGTACGAAATGTCGAGTATCATGCCTCAGGCGCTATACCTCGATTATATTATTAAATTATTAAAGTTGCCGCACGTTTAGTTATCAATTACCGTCATAATAAAATTAAATTCACAATATTTAATTGTTTGATGATTCATGATGCCATTTTTCATTAAATTTGCATCAAAATTCACACAACATTTGTTTTGGAGTTTTGACGTTTGACGTAGAAATTCATTTTAAAGGTTTCGATGATTATATTTTCGCATAATATAAATACGCATAATCTATGCTTTATGCCAATATAAAATCTATGCCTAAAAAGTTATGCCCAAATATTATTCTGCTAAAACAAATTATGCCAAAATTGTTATGCCGAAGTATACTAGGACAACGAACATTATGCAAAACAATGGTTTGTTTCATAAATATATTTTATCATACAGAAATAATGAAAAACATCCGTTTAGTGCACACGTTTGTCCTGCAAACTTTACGTTCTACTTTGTGACATTCACTGTTTATGTAAAATATCCTTTTAACACTAAATAACAAATGCCTTAAGAACCATACACGTATTTTCTTGAAAATCAACTTGAATTTACTTTATATATAACTTAGTTCTATTCCATGTACTACATATCTACTACCGACCCTTATCGAGTAGTTTATCACTAAGGCTCATTTTACAGTTAATCAAAATACACACACATATTGCGAAAAATATGCCTCTTATTATAAGACACACTATTTACTACATTGTATTGTAACTGTTACAGTTATTACATTACGCATGCCCTGAAGGCATAACCGCACGATTGTAACGTACTCGCGTACGATACTATATTTGTAAGCCGCAGTGTCAAAGTTCACAGTTTGTAACAAATTGAACTTCAATTTAAAATCAATTAAGCGATTTATTAAGTTTATATTACAGTGAATCAATCAATTAACAGTAAAATCAGATTATTTAATACTTTTTTAAATTGTAGGAACATACCTAATGTGATGTTTTTCAATGAATATTTACCTATATAAATAATTAAGTATTACATTCAACATTAATAAATCGAGTATTGCAGTACCTACACTGACTTATGACTTAAGGTTTTTTATAAGCTAATATGTCTGGTCTCATTTTCATCCACTAGGCATATGTTCTTATTAAATTGGTTGTAAGTATTGCGTACACTTATACGACTTAAAATGATCTCGGTGCATTTCGAAACAGTTGATAGTAAAGTTTGTTCTTTACTGCATTTTGTAAAGCGCACTTCTTAACGCTTGTTAAGATCCAATACTTCGTACTAACTGTTATAGTTATCATTAAATAATACTAGCACATAGTATTTGCAATCTTTGTTTTGTGAAGATATAAAGTACAAAAAAAATTCGTCGAGATTTGATAAATCAACAACAAGTTACTAATAAACATTATAAGAAAATGGTTATTTAGATCGCCATTATATTGCCATTTTATCGCCATTTAAAAAAAAAACAAAAAAAAACTCTGGTTCTACAGTAAAATATTACCAGGAAAAATAACATTTCTACGAACAATACCTTTTATGATCCACAGAACTTGACCTTAATATATTTATAGCGAGCAGGATAGATAGTCCAAGTGTTATTTTAAAACAATTTCTAGTCTCGCGTCAAATTATTTAAATGTTATTGCAGTTCGCCGCCTAAAGTGGGTGGTTCCTAGAGCGATATATAAGCCTGCGCGGATTTTTTACCCGCACACAAACTAGTTCAACGTAGCTAGGCAATCTTAGATACTCAATATGAAATTCGCAGTAAGTAAATCAAAATAAATATGAATTTATAAATATTAAAAGAGAATAATGAAATAATAAAGTGATGTGAAAAAAGTGAATTTTCGGTGTTAGTAATTGATTTTTCGGAATTCAGGTGGTGATTTTGGCGTTTGTGGCTGTCGCGAGTGCGCAGTTCAATAACCCCTACAACCCCTTCGGGTTCAACAACCAGAGGTACTACAAACCCACTCCTGCGCCGTACCGCTACCGCCCCGTGTCCATCACTCCCGCCTACAAACCAATTGCTTTCACCGCCTCAACCCCCGCCCCAGTGGTTGCCCCCGTGCCCGTTGCCAGGGTTGTCTCTGACGCTCGCAACGCCCAGACCCTGAAATACGGCAATGAAGTCAACCCTGATGGCAGTTACAACTACTTGTAAGTATACTCTACACCTAGACTGATATTACACTTATCTTCGAAACTTCATATTAACACAATTTATTATTTTTAGCTACGAAACCGACAACGGTATCGCCGCCCAGGAACAGGGCACTCCCCGCAACTTCGGTGGAAACCCCCCTGTAGTCCCAAGTGTCGCCCAGGGATCTTTCTCATGGACCTCTCCTGAGGGTGAGCCCATCGTCATCACCTACGTCGCTGATGAGAACGGATACCAGCCCTCTGTAAGTATCATGGGACTCGCCATCAATTGAATTGAATTGAATCACTTTAGATTTATAACTGAAGGAGATATTTTTGATATTAATAATAATAAATGCTAATTAATTTAATTACAGGGTAACGCCATCCCCACCGCTCCTCCAGTACCCCCCCAGATCGCCCGCGCCCTCGAGTACATCGCCCGCAGCGCGCCCAAGAAATAAGCTGCGTCTGAACGATAAAGCTTTCCCATAACAGTATAAAACGTACTTTATAAAATGAATAGTACAACTTAGAAGTATTGTCGAGTAAAATAAAATCAAATGTGATATATTTTAACAATAACTTTTATTTGCTATTTCTACGTAGTCGATATGGTTTGTGATAACTGTTTGCGTAAAAATGTAAATAAAATATTGTAATTGTTATACAAATCTGTTTTTCTCATTTTTGAAAGACCTAAGATAAATTGTGTGTAATCAAACTGTAAGTTGTTGGATTCCACATTGAGAGTATTCTTTTTTAAAAGGCTCACCGTGCCTGTGACACTTCTGATGTTGCGCGTGTCCATTGGCGGCGCTGATCGCTTACCATCAGGAGATCCGACAGCTCGTTTGAATAATTTAATTACAATACGCAATATTCCTGTAACCTTTAATCCGATTTTGTAATATAGAATAAGTAGTTTTTTTGATAAAAAATAAGTAATTCAAATAAAATTGGTCATCGAAATCGATTATTCAAAAATTTACATTAAATATCGTTTTAGATTATTTGTTGCTAAAGCTATTCATCATAATTTTATTCAATGCCACGACTTCATTCTGATCGTTATACAAATTGATAATAATTATCTCCTCATCAAAAGTAATATTAGTGTTATCCTATATTGTAGCAGTATTTTTATACATGTATCTATGTAGATATGTTATTCCATATTATACAATAGTCATTATGATGTTCGCTCAAGGGGTTAATCCCGGGTCAGGCAAAGCTTTAAAATTCTCCGTAGTAGCACGGAGTCTGGAGTTGTGCCCGGTATTGACAATAGGCTTACCCCCTATAACATGGGACTCATAACATACGTATAAATAGTGAAAAGTGTAGTGTTAAGTACATTGTACATTGGTATTAATGTGCACCTCTGTCTACCCCTTCGGGAATAAAGGGCGTGATGTTATATTATGGTATTATAATGAAATATCACTAGCGGGTAATCATCATCTTGATTGGTCTGTAAATATGTGAATTAACTGCGAATTACTCAAAGTTCGCAATCCCTTCAATTATTTAACTAGTTTTTTGCTGATCGATCTTAATTTACTTACAAGGGCACATTAAGCTAAGAATTAACCTTCGAATTCCTGGTACATTTTATCGGATTAATATTTTTGTCAAATTGTTTGTATAAGTGCATAACGTTATCAAAATTTAAATATTTCTAAAAGATTTGTCCAAATTGCTTAATATTTTTCGTTGTGTGAAAAAATGATCTATTATCAATATTTTATTGATGTATTTCAAGTAATGTTTACATTATTTCTAACAGCACAATTGTAAGACATATTGCTTGTTTAGCTATTTCTGTAGATAATGTAGTTAAGTGGCAATTAAATTTACTTAACATCCTCCAAAGTGATTGTAAACAAGAGATAGAGGCCTTATGTTTACATTATTCTCAAGATTATCTGTCTACAAAGCTAGAACATTACTTCATTTACTTTATTAGCTCATTGGATATCGTAAAACAATTATTTTGTTTATCAATGGCGCCTACAAATCTCTATTTGGGAAAAAGATTAGCCCCTAAACGCTTTTATTTGCATACGAAACGTTTATAGTTAGAAACCGACCATTTAGCTGCTAATGAGGTAATAAATCGACAGGGAATCGATCTGATTGTGACCGTGTGATGGCTGACCGACGCCCGTCCTTCGATTTTATAGTAGTAGATGTAACGTCACATCAGGCGATAACTAAAGACTAGTAAGCCCACACGGTTGCGCGGTGCCATCCATCTAACGTTACACAATAACTAAGAATCTTCATATTGAACAGGTTCCAAGAGATTTATCTCTGTTGCGACCTCAGAGAATTCGTTAAACAGATATTTGTAAGCTTTTTAAATCAACGCTCTTGTTTATTGACTCACTGCGAATCGATGAACTTTATTAACCTGTAATTTACATTCTGCATGTCTCAAATGATTGCTTGTTTCGAACATTGGACGAAATTTATGTTTTTCAAAGGCAATTTTTATTGATTGTGGCAATGTATATTATAATTATTTTGGGGAAAAAATATGTGGTTACCAAACCAAACCCAAATTGTAATATAAATCACAATATTAAATACAAGTTCGCTTCCGTTTATACAGATTAATGAATACATTTGGGAAGGAAAAATACAGATTATTTACGTAAATTGGACTAAATTTTATGTAAATGACAAGATTAAAATATCAATGTCAAATGCCCTTCTTCACAGATTAATGTATCAAAGTGGCTTTGTACGGTAGACTAATGACAAAAACAGCTAAATGTGGCATTAGAACATTTACGTTATAAATGTATGGAATGTTAATTTGATACGTTAGAGCAAAATGATAGATCTCTTTTGTTTGTTTTCGTAAGAAGTAAAGGTTTCGGAGGTTAAATGTGAATAATAATCGTTTGTAGTAGACAAAGGCTTGGCGTGTGATGCGCAGGTGATCTTCGCCTCTCGATGTAGCTCTATCGTGATACCATGCCGTCCGTTCGGGCTCGACCTTAGCATTTGGTATAACGCACTTACCAGTTAATACATGATACAAGTAGTTTTCTACAATGTTGCTTGTTTTATTACTTTACTACACACAAGGACAATGTAAGATGTTTCAATTGAATATGTTGGGAGTTTATTGAATGTTGCAATCGTTTGAAACTGCATGTATCAAGTCATTCAGAACACTGAAAAAAATAGGCTTATTTTTCAACAAGTTTTATCTTTATCAAGAGCGATTTTAATTCGCTACTGGAATTTTAAAATGCAGGAGAAGTACGAGATCTTTGGATTGATATTACAGCCCTACATTCTATTTTAAAACCATGGAGTGATTTACATACAGACACTTCAGACTCGTTTGCCTATTGTACATCTTGTACCAATGGATTTAATAGTACACAGTCGCTTCATGATTAATGCGGACTGGCGTGCCCTATACGAGTACCTTCGCCCAGGACGCATTTGTCGTTTATTATACTTACCATTTTTAATCTATCGCAATGAATAGAATTATTAAAAAAATATATGGATAGCATATACGTTTGAAGAATAACTTCATTATTGTCATCACTCATACTTTTTCTGCCAGTAAGAAACGCAGAAAAGGCTTCTAACAGGCTGTCTACGAATATACGTGGATACCCATAATCTAAAAGTGAACTGTCGCAAAACGCTAATAATGAAGTAGAAAAAAAAATCATTGAATGAAATTAGTAATCAACATTTTATGTAAACTTTGGTCTAGAACCTTTTAAGATATGATTGTATACAAGTATCATATCCTTCAAAGAATCTACATTGTACAAACTCTTGTTCAATTTATAATAATGAAATTATATATCGTCATAATACAAAATACATTATTGATACCTTGTACATGTCAATAATAATATTTGAACGTCAGACTACATTGTAGTTTTTATAATGACGTGATGTTTTCGTTATTTGTCTGTCTTCTGATTGAATGAATAATCTATTTTGACCTATTGAAAGTTTCTATTATATTATTACTAATAGCTATACAAACACGCGTATAAAAACTGATCAGAACATCTGGCAAACTAAAATGTAATCTATGTCCGATCTTATACATAGAACGTACCTAAATTTTGCATGTGATTTTTTTATTTACACCTAATCTATTTCTTTATTTGAAAAGTTCATGGCAAAATAGACTAGATGGCTACCCACGCTTTTATAAATTTATGTAAGTAACTTGGCACTTGGGTGCGGCTGAAGATGGCACAGCTCGTCGTGTTGGGAAACTCGTAATCTTATCAACATATGAATGACTTTATAACCAGCACTTTTACTCAAAATATCCCTCGAAATATTTGTGACGTCACACTGATCGCTCCAAAGGTTAATAGACTTGCCTGTGCAGGGTTACAGTAGCGATCTCGTAGTGAACGATACTAGATATTACAAAGCCTTTCAATTGTAAGGCCAAGTTGATACTTAGTGTATCTGTAATTCTCTATTCATTTAATTGCTGTTTTATTACATCTTAATACAACAAAGTAATGGTCGATCGAAGCTGTGGTTACGATGTTGCTACTCTTTAATTTGACACCAATAAGGTATAATTGAACATTTTTATAATGATGTGCATGTATGATCTTTTCCTTAAACTGGTAGTAAATCAGTTATTGGGATGTATAATTTTTTTCGTTTTAATTTGGAATTAAGTCAAATGGGTAACGAAATTGACAGTTATTACTTTTTACACGCAAATAAGGGCTATGACCTTTAACGTCCTTAGCTATGACTCAAAAGGTAAAGAGGGGTTTATTCCAAGAACTAAATAATTCAAGATTCTTTGATAGGCTCTCAAAATTGACTCTTGAATGGAATTTTGTGTCGTGATCGTAAAAACAAGATTGTGATTAATATTTTCAACATTAGATATTGATGTACGATGACGTTTATTTAATTATTTATTCTATTTAAACAGATGTAGATTACAAATTAAGAATGCAAGTATTTACTAGGAGGTAGAAGGTACAATGATTAATACCTTGTCTATAAATCTGCACTTCCTGCGTAATAGCTTCAACAAAGGACGCTATTTGCTTAAGCAAACTATAAATTGTGATGTAATACTTACTACAGACATTTTAGAAAATTATACTCAGTGAATATTTGTATGTCCTCACTTCTATAAAGCGTAGGCTAAGAAAATCTAGTGGTTGTCTTAATAGTGTTTACAGGCAATGGGCTTGTGGCTTTTCAAACATGTATGTAGGTACATATCGTCCCATTAGTAGAATAATGTTCTATTGCAAATTGTCGACTTTTCAGTAGAGCGATTATAAATTTCGCGCGCACATATTTGCTTATAAATCTGTTATAAATGATACTAGCTACTTAATATTTGTACAGTATGCACAGAAGTTAGTACCGTTTATGATAATATAATTATTTGTTTTATAAACTATGCCTTTTCAAGTATAATGGGTCGCATGTGCACATACAACGTTCTTTTGCCAAAAAAAATATTGAATGAGATGTCTTAAGGATACATAAAACAATATTCGACGAAACTATTCACGATACATCGGCATATCAAACATTATTTTACGAATTTTGGTGGTTTTATCCGTGTTTTATATGAAACTGTAATACTAAGAAAGTAGAATTGGTTTTAAATTCATCATTATTACTGAGTATTTTTATGTATTTAAAAACGTTGGTGTTTTCTTAATCAATTTATTAGTCAATGTAGTAATCAATATACGAGTAAATTAAAAATAAATACAAACTGACTACATACACTATGAGGAATAACCTAATCAAGATATTTATTATAAAATTATTAAAAGAGGCGACAGAAAAACAGAATAATGCTCTTACAATTCTTACAAAATAAATACATGGCGATCCATAAGAAAAAAATATTATAGATCACTTAAAACTAACTATTGACTTATTTCTTTCTGTGGTTATTCTCATGAATAAATCAGTCCTATATAATTGTAATATAAAGTTAGCTTAA